TATACTATACTATACTATACTATACTATACTATACTATACTATACTACACTACACTACATTGTACTGTACTATACTATACTATACTATGCTATACTGTACTGTACTATACTATACTCCACTACACTGTACCGTACTATACTATACTATACTCTACTATACTATACTGTACTTTTATACTATAATGAATCTTTGTATTCACCCCTTTTTTTTAGTGGTTTGTGAGTTTTTTAAAGACTGGGACCATGTACTATTATTGGTCAATGTATACCTAAAGTTGATCACTGTGCCTGAAGCATATCATGTGATCAATAGACACCTGACAAATAAGGGAAAGAGTGAATGAATGAATGGATATAGCATTTCTATGACAAGGTATTAGGATAATCAAAATGTGGCACTCAAAGTATGCAGGTGTTAAGCACAATCAAAGTGTGGCACTCAAAGTATACAGATGTTAAGCACTGTTGTCTCTTTCTGTCCATGGTATCTCTATTTTCTGACATTTTTGTGACTTCAGCATCTCACATTTTCATCTGTTAGCCTTTTGACTTCCTTCTCAATCACCATCTTTACTATTTAAATTATTCATAAATTTATACCATAGCTCATCTCATAACTGATTATTTTCAAAATAGTAACAGCATGGAGACGTGATTACTACTTTGCTTTCACAAATACCTTGGATAAACTGCTAATATTTTTGCTGTTATTTGGTGGGAGATGGAGTCATGTGCTTTCCTGTAAAAACAGCCTGATCCCTAGAGGAAGAGGAAAGTATATAAAGTCAGAGGGTGTGAGATAAAATTCTGTTTTTACAGCTTAAATACTGTATACAGGCTGTGCCCTGTACAAAGGCACTTGGCCTAGATGGCAAGTGTGGCCTGACTTCCAGTGGACACTCCATTTGCTGAACCTTCTGCTTACAGGGCTGCAATCACCCAAAGAGTGTGCCTTTCCTAATTCACACTAAGGCATGGTATAGGGTAGCAGAAGTGTAGGCTGTTTCACGCACAGAAATTACTTAATTTCTCCTAAATATAGGTAATACTACCTAATCTTCTCTATGAGCTCATTAATTCCTTCATTCATTTATTCAGTCATTCTAAAACCCATGGAGGAGCCAGCCTAGAGGTTAAGAGCTTAGATTTTGGAGTCAGACATCAAGAAGTGGCCATGATTCTATATGATTATGACTTAGTTCATGGGAGGTGGGTTGAAATTTCCCAAAAGAAATTCACTAAGGAACAAGCATAAATTTAGAAACCATCCATGGAGAATGTTGTATGTGTAGTCATAAAACCAGATAACTAGAATATAGACCTTGGTGTACTCACTGCAAAAAAAGCTCATGAGACTGTTCTATATCCAGCCACAGATGAAGACCCCTGTTCCCGCACCTTTGGGTAATTCCTCTTCTGCTTCCTTCTCAGATTTCACCTGCCCTAAGGCAATGGCTAGAATAAGTCTCTACAAATTTCAGATGGACAGTGAGTTCTGAACAGGCCAGTTTTGTATGGAGAAAGCATCTTTGCCCTTGCCCTGGGAGACAGCTGCTTTGGAGTGGGAATGATCACAGAAAGTCACCAGATTCCTCTTCACCCTTAGGGATAAGCAGAGGGTTATTTTCCCACTGCAACTCATTCTATCGTTTGAACACTTTCATTTCTTGAAAACCCTTCCTTATATTGGTATTTTTTTTTCTGTAATGCTTTCAACTGAGCTCCAGCCCAAAGGAACTCAACTCTCCCCTCCCCTTCCTCTTCCTTTCAAACCTGTGCATTCTCCTGGGTTTCCTTGTAATAGATATCACCACTTAGTTGCCTAAGCCAGATATCTTAAGTCAGCTTAGACTCCTCCATCCTGTTAGTTTATCAAGTCACTCATCAAATACTATAAATTACGTCTTTTAAATATCCTTCCCACCCATCTCCTTTTCTCCATTCCTGCAGCCAACACCTTGGTT